CAATTCGTTATGGTTTAGTAAGTAGTTTGAAACAAAAAGGCTTATACGTGATTACGAAAGGGTTTTGTTAAAAATAAGTAAACACAATATGTCTAAATTGTTTAATCATATATATATATATATATATATATATATATATATATATATATGATTAAACAATATATATATATAGTTTTAAGGTATAGTATATTATGGGGTCAAGTGCTCAATATTAGAGATAGAGCGTATGAAAATATAAAGCTGAACATTGAAGTCAGAACTCAGTTTCTTTTAGGCTTAAACGCATGCTGGACTGGGGTTTGCGTTTAAGAATGACTTCAATATCCACTTTTATATTTACATACTTATTTACTCCACTTATATATATATATATATATATAGTCTTAAGGTGTGCTATATTTATGGGATAAAGTGGTCAATATCAGAGATAGAGCGTGTGTAAATATAAAAGTGAACATAGAAGTCAACACTTAGAGGCGATAGTCTGTTTCATGCTAGACGCAATCGTAGCCTGACAATTGCGTCTAGCATGAAACAGACTGTTGCCTCTAAGTGTCGACTTCTATGTTCACTTTTATATTTATGTATATATATATGTGTGTGTGTGTGTGTGTGTGTCATAGGTCCAGATCTGGTATTTCGGCTACAGTTACTTTTCCATCACCATAATGTCGTTTCAGGATGCCTTTTTTTTAAATAAATATGTTCATCACAATTGTCCTGATGAGCTTTCCACTTTTATACCTCGTCTTTATGAATTTAAGCATATCACTAGATTGGCAGCTAGGTCTCGTCATTTTACAGTTGAAATGGCTAGATGCAACCCTAAGTTGTATGATAAAAGTTTTTTCGCTCGCACTTCTCACTTGTGGAACTCACTTTCGGCTTCTTGCTTTCAAATCAATTTTGATTTTTAAAAATTTAATCGTAATGCTAATCGTTAACTTTTGTCTTCTCTTCGTCCTCTTTAATAATGCTTTTATTTTGATTCTTTCACACCCAGTAATCCCTTACGTCTTATGGCTTTATCGCCTTGCTTGGAGAGAAACAGTGTATGTATATATATATATATATATATATATATATATATATATATATATCCCGACAAATGGAAATGGTTTAATTGAAAATAGATTTGATTACGAAACCTGTAATCAAATTTATTTTCAAAGAAACGTTTTTCATATATATATATATAAAGACATTTTTATGTTTATACATTCTTTTTTATAGATACAAATAATTAAGTAAATGCTCAGTTTTATAATAAACAGTATTAATAACATTTACTGGCCTGAATGTCCGAAAAATTTTCATAGAAAATATTCGTCCTCCGACAGGAATCGAACCTGTATCCTATACGGAACCGTCATTTAGCCTGACGTGCCTTAACCCATCGAGCCACGGGGGATCGTTCGATTCAGTAAATGTTATTAATACTCTTTATTATAAAACAGATCATTTACTTAAATATTTGAAAAGAATGTATAAACATAAAAATGTCTTAAAATAATTGTCGGACTTTTGTCCATTTCATAATATATATATATATATATATATATATATATATATATATATATATATATATATATATATATATATATATACTGAAATTGTGACATTGTGGAGTAATCGTCCGCCACCTCGTCTAACAGAGCATTGTGGCTCTATAGGGAGTCCGATCTTTTCTAGATGTCCCATAATGGTTGCATTGTCAGACTAATCTAAGCTTTGGAATTAAACATATATTGTAGTCGCAAACAATTTAAGCAAAAATGGTATTTTGTAATGAAACTTGTGTTCTTAGTAATACTTAATCATTTGTCATTGATCTTAGTAGAGTAACACGGAAGACCAACTAAAGCAAATTATCCTCAGCTTAATCTACGAGATTATCCACTTATTTTGATTGTACAAATACGATGATCCTATCGCTTTGGCCGGAAGAAATCTAATATGAGGTTAGTTCAAAAGATTCCAACAGTTTTAGACAAAATCTTTATTCGTATAAATTTGTCACTTTCTTATTCACTCATGAAAGTATTTTCCTGATTTCGAGGATATTTCGCCTTTCAATTAGATTATGTATTTTGTTATAAAATCACGATTTCCGTTTCGATTTCAAATTATTGGTACCAATGACCAAGCAAGAAACGAAACACATGATAGCGTGAAGGTGACAAGTCTCCAGTATTGCAATGCCAACTCCATTATCGTTTGTTACATCGTATTTGCAACAGGAGAACAGCCACTACTGTGCAGAAAACTCAAGTCAATTCCTTTGCTCCGATAAAAGGTTTTCAGTACCAATGGGTTTCATTTAAACAGGCCACTTCTTTACTAGTTCGTTGAACAGTTAATTTTGTCCAGCTTTCTTTAATTTATAGCTTATTATTACATACAGAATCTTATTACGTACAGAATTCCGTTTGAATCTTATTACGTACAGAATTCCATTTAAAACTTACTGCGTACAGAATTCTCTTTGGATCTTATTACGTACAGAATTTCCTTTGAAATCTATCAAAAACGTATGTGTTTCTCTTCGAAAGTAGATGCCTTTTATTTTGATAAGTCGATGTCTATCCAGGATCTGGTGATGATGTTGTTTGTTATGAATTTTCGTATTGTGTTCATTTTTCATTGTCACTAATTATTACCTCCATTTTTTTCTATATTGAAAAACAAAATAAATAGGGAACCTATGAAAACACTGATGCAGCCCACATTTAATTCGAGCAAAATCTACTAGAACACAACCCACCCTAATCGGGTTGTGCGGGTCGTGATACAAGTCTAATACGACGTTTACATGAGGTGTACAAAACCATCAGAAGCCTACTTCAACTAAAAGTAATGCTAATGGTAATATTAGCCATTTCCTTATAAGGAAACAGCATTCCTTGACCAAAAGTGCTACTTTTGGTTGAAATTCATAAAATCTTTCTATTCAAATAGTTTTTCAGGAAAATCGTTTTCTCAAGTTCAATAACTGTTATCGTTCTTTCCAGTATTGATTTGGGGAGGTGGATGGGGATTCCTAACCTTTTATTTGAAGTCGTGTAGAATGTTAACATCTTGATTATGCCAATATTTTCTCTTTATTTTCTAGCCATTTTAGTGGTTGTTCTTGTTGAAAGACCTCAAGTGATGTGGTTTCTGTAATTTGGTACAGTTCTTTGATTCTGTAGGGCCAATCCACGAAGTTTGAGGATGATTCTCTCTAAGACCTACCGGCTTCATTCGCTGTATGAGTCTGAATAAGTTTGTCACCATGCATGACATCCATATGAAAGTCTCGATCTCAGGAGACTCTTTAAGAACATGACTCGGGTTCACTATTTACATTATTCAGACTATTGTCCTCATCTTTGTCGCCATATTTATTACAACGTTGTACGCTCCGGTCTTCTTCAGACTCTTTTGAGTGTGAGTTCAATACCCGGTTAAGGCAGCGGAGAACTTGCAGAGGGGAATTAACAGGAGATAACTGATATCCATTAAACATGGCACGTGGAACTAGAACAGTCTACCCCAGTGAGCGAAATAAAGGGTTCAGTTCTACATTCCAACCACCTGAAGAAGGCCGGAGCGTACAACGGCCGAAACGTTGTAATAAATATGGAGACAAAGATGAGGATAATAGTCCGAATAATGTAAATAGTGTGCATAATACCTCATCTCAGAAATATAGGCAGATAATGACTCGAGTTTTTAGGTAAATGTGTTAGCGGTGTTGGACAGAAATTATTCCTGGCGTCGCCTATTATATTTTCAATTCCGTTTTCTCCGATACTAAATTTGTTATAACTGATATATACACCGAAGTATTTAAAGTGTATAATATTTACTAATTCTATTCTGAATTTTTATGATGTTTTCAGGATTATGGGATTATCACTGCTTCTGATTTGGAAAGGTTTATCTTGAGTCCTATTTCTGGGTACACTTGATAGAGGATGCTGATTTTTTTGTTCAACATCATTCTTCTTAACGAAACTATGAATACCTATGTCATCGGCATAGCCTCCACCCCTGTCGACAGTTCATGTCCTCGAGAGAGAAAGAAGGAACGCCATTTTCTATTAGATACGATATGCAGATTAGTCTTATGGAACCTATCAGAAAAGTAACACGACTATCAGTTGGAGGTGACGCGTGTTAATTTACACTGGTGCTCACTCACTATTAAAATACAAAGATTTCTAAAAAAAATTTTAAAAAAAACCTGAAAAAAAGTAATTATTTTGCCAGGGGAATATTTATAAAATGAAGGAATTGGGACAATACGAATTCTTTGGGGGAAAATTCCTGATTATTTCCCGTTATAATTGGCTCTGTATAAAACTTTCTAACGTCTCTTGTCTGTCGGTCCCTTCACACCCACTCAATCTGGTCCCGTGCACACTTGAATATTATCTGATAATTTTTGTAATCGTAATGAGAGAAATTGAGAAATCTGCGTGAATATGCTCATCTGCACTCGTGTCACACATGATGATAATGATGGTTGGAAAGAAAAGAAAAGAATTGAATGGTGATCGGGAGGAGGGGACATATTTGTTGCGCCTGACGTAGAATTTACAGTTGGCAACATAAAAAAAGGGACAACAACGTTATTTATGGAAATGATCTTTAGTACTGTTTCGCCTCCTGCACATCATTTGCAATCTTTCTTCAACCATTTCCTTGTCACTTTCCTTTTCACGTTCTCCTTTCTCTATCTCTTACCCGCCACTAAAACTCACACTATTTTACTTTCTACTGATTTCTTTTCTATCTTTTCAAATATTACTTCGTGTTTCTTTCTGTCTTTTTCTTTCAACTGATTCCTTTCTTTCTTTCTTTCTTTCTTTCTTTCTTTCTTTCTTTCTTTCTTTTCAAATATTCCTCCATGTTTCTTTCGGTATTTTTACTTTTCCATGAATTTCTTTCTTTCTTTCTTTCTTTCTTTCTTTTCAAATATTCCTCCATGTTTCTTTCGGTATTTTTACTTTTCCATGAATTCCTTTCTTTCTTTCTTTCTTTCTTTCTTTCTTTCTTTCTTTCTTTTCAAATATTCCTCCATGTTTCTTTCGGTATTTTTACTTTTTCATGAATTCCTCTCTTTCTTTCTTTCTTTCTTTCTTTCTTTCTTTCTTTCTTTCTTTCTTTCTTTCTTTCTTTACTTCCTTCTTTTCCCATATTCATTGTGTTCCTTTCTTTTTGTATTTTACTTTTTCTAATTCCTATCTTTCTTTCTTTCTTTCTTTCTTTCTTTCTTTCTTTCTTTCTTTCTTTCTTTCTTTCTTTCCATCCTTTCAAATATTCCTTCGAGTTTCTTTCTTTTTGCTTTTCTCTTGATTCCTTCCTTTCATTTGTTCTTTTTTTCTTTCCTTTTTTTCAAATATTCCTTCGTGTTCTTTCTTTCAGTATTTTTGCTTTCCGACGAAATCCTTTCTTTCATTCGTTTATTATTTATTTCATTTCTTCTTTTCAAATATTCATTTGTGTTTCTTTCTTTCGACTAATTCCTTTCTTTCATTCGTTTTTCTTTCTTTTATTCATTCTTTCTTCCTGTCTCTCCTTCTTTTCAAATATTCCTTCGTGTTTCTTTCTTCCTGTATTTTTGCTTTTCTACCAATTTCTTTTTCCATCATTCATTCGTTCTTTCTTTCTTCCTTTTCTTCTATTCAAATCTTCGTTCGTATTTCTATCTGTATTTTTGCTTTTCTACTAATGTCTGTCTTTCATTCGTTCTTTCTTTCTTTCTTTCATTTTTCCTTCATTCTTTTCAAATATTCAGTCTTGCTATTTTCATTCTGTATTTTTTTCTAATTCTTTTCTTTCATTCGTTCTTTCTTTCTAATACGAAATTCCGAGTTTTGGTATTCTGTCTTTAATTTTTCTAATATTAATTTGCACGCTTTCTTTCTTTCTTTGAAAAACGTCTTTCTTTCTTGTTCTTTTTTCATTTTTTTTTTTTTACTCTATTTATCTTACTTTCTTTTCTGTGTCTCCTAAATATTATGTTTTCTTTCTTTCTTTACTTTTAGGATACAAACTTCCGTGTTTTCTTTCTGTCTTTTTTCTTTTCTAATACGTCTGTGTTGTTTCTTTTTTGTTGCTTTTTCTTATTTTTCTTTCTTTTTCTGATAATTCTTTCTTTCTTTAACTATATTTTATTATTTTATATACCTTTCTCTTTCTTTCTTTCTTTTTCGTTCCTTCTTTTTTCTATAAGCTTTTCCATTTCCCCTTTTTCTATTTGCTCTCGTAATGCTTTTCCTACCACCAATCTCTCTTTCTCTCTTTCATGTTCTCTTTATCTTCAAATTCATCTGTTCCCTCATCTCTCTCTCTCTCTCTCTATCTATCTATCTATCTCTCTTTCTCTGTCGATGTCTGTCTTCCTTCTGTCTTCCTTCTGTCTCTCTTGATTGTCTGTCTCTCTCTCTGTGTTTTTCTCTGTCTCTCTCTTTCTCTCTATCTATTTCTCTCGGTTTCTCTCCGTCTGTCTGTGTTTGTCTCTCTGTATGTCTGTCTGTCTGTCTCTCTCTGCCTATCTGTCTGTCTTTCTTTCCATGTGTCTGTCTCTCTGTCTGTATCTCTGTCTGTCTGTCTGTCTCTCTGTCTGCCTTTCATTTTTTGCCTATCTCTTCGTGTCTCTGTTGCTCTTTGCCTATCAGTCTGTCTCTCTTTCTATGTATCTATCTCTGTCCCTGTCCATCTGTCTCTCTCTCACTCTATGTTTCCTTCCCGACTTCTCACTATCTTCTATACACAAGATGAGCCTCTGTCAACAAACCTAATCTTCATGACCACCTTAAACGACACCAAACAGATAAGTATTTGTAGATAGATAAATATACAAGCGCATATCTCGACCTGCAAGAATCTCTACTTGCTTGAACTAAATAAGAAAACGATCAGTAGCCATATTAGGTAACAATATTTGAATTGAACGGAGTGATACAAGGAAAAGAGTTTGGGTTTTTGGTTTGGGGTTTTTCTACTAATGTCATTTTTGGTGTTTGTAAACTACGTCTCAATACCAGAATTGTTTTTCTTTTCATCACGCCCCAAATATCAAAACATCCGTCAAACGAGAATCTGTACAGAAAGAATAGCATCTGTGTATACGTCTGACAAGGACAAGCCTTCGAAAAGAAAAAAAGGACATTTGAAAAATAGAAATTTTACTGTTTTCGGAGAGATTTCTTGAAAGAGGAAAAATAAAAAGAATGAAATGAAACAGGACGTTTTTTTTAAAATTAGAATAAACAAATCAAAAATAGCGTGAGAAAAAAAGAAATGACCAAAGAAAAGAAAAAAATCAACCCGAAAAGATCTTAAGTTTTGAGGATCATTTAAAGCCATTGCTGTCAAAGTCGTTAACTGTCGACCCAATTTTGCTTGCAACAACATAGCTTTATTATTATCAATGTCCAACAAGTAATTATTTCATCTAGAGATGCTAGTGACCTGAACTGGCATTGGTGATTCAAGTTAAAGCTTTGACTAGGGCAGTTTTTTTATACCATTGTTCACCAAAAAAAAAGCGATACCTAAAGTTTAAAAATAATGCTTTTTAAAAAATGAAAAATCTTTCTTGATTTCTTTCTTTATTCTCATTTTAATTACAAGTTAATAAATTACATTTAATATTCCCAATAAAAAATATTTTTTCTACTAATCAGAAAAATCGATGAATTCATCCATATTGACAAATTTTTCAACACAATATAATTCTCTTTATTGAAAATTAAAAAAAATATATATATTGTTATCTAGAATAAGAAAATCTGTTTTGAATCGTAAACTATAAATTCGATTCAAAACAGATTTTCTGTAAGTAACTGTCTTGTTTGAACAAAAAAAAAAATGATGATTTAAATTCTCCGAGGACTTGTCCTTATAATAAATATAAACATTAAGCGATACAAAAAAAAAAAAAATTCTCAAAATTTCATAAAATTAAATGATTGTGGGGTGGTAACATATACAAAAAAAATATTTTTACCAAGATTTTCTAAAAAAGAAACATTTAAAAATAATTTAATTCATTTCTGAATGTCCTGAAAGTTTCATTATAAAATCCAACAAGTATTTGATTTTTGTAAGAATTTCCAAATCAATGTGTTTTTCACTGTAAAATGATGCTCACATTGGTTGTATAAATTTAACTACAGAAAAACAAGATTTTTAACCAAAATTTCCAAAGTTCTAAAAAGGATTAAAAAATATATTTATATAAAAGCTTTGATCTTTTCTCTTAATAACAAAGATTTGGATGATAAAACTTTTTATTTGTTTTTTTAACAGTTTTTCATTATGCATCCTCTTTTTTTAATGGAGATACCAACTGAAAATCGCCTCAAGGTAGAGAGTTAGTGAATAAGGGAGTTGTAAGGGATTCAAGAAAGGAGTTAAGAATTTCAGATTGTGAGAATACGTAATATAGATAATGGTTGACTCTAGACCTGAAGAGGTTAAGATCATAGGGATCGGGGAAGCATCATCTTGGGAGTCTGTTGCACACAGTTCTGAGGAAAAAAATGTTTCAGTGACTCCACGTGAAACTATGGGTAAGTATTATTATTATTATTATTATTATTATTATTATTATTATTATTTTCTTTGATTTCTGGCGTTTACACATTTCTTTCCGGGTCCCGCCCAGGGACCTAAGGTTAGAAATGGCATCATGACACTTTCTACTGATTAAAAAAAATATATATAACATAGATAAAGCCCTTCGTAAAGTGTGGGCTGTACTTGTCAGAACAATTTTTTGTATCTCCTTGAAGCATGGACTTCCAGGAATCCCTTCAATTAGTCTACCGCAATCTTTTCCAACCAGTCCTAGGGCTCCAACTACAACAGGGATTGTTGATGTTCCCATATGCCACATTTTTGAGATTTCTATTTCAAGGTCCTTGTATTTTGACAGCTTTTTTAATATCTTCAAAGATACATTGCAGTCAGCAGGGACTGCCATATCAATAAGGAGGCACTTTTTTTGTTTGTGGTCTTTAATAACAATGTCTGGGCGGTTGGCTTTGATTGTTCTGTCAGTGTGTATTGTGTAGTCCCATAGAATTGTAACAAGTCCTATCTCCGTAACCGGGTCTGGGTGGTGTTCATACCATTTTCTTTCAGTTTCCTTCCCGTAGAAGTTGCAGATTTTCCAGTGCAGATATTGGCCCACCCTGTCATGCCGGGTTTTATATTCAGTGGGTGCCAATATCGTGCAACCTGATACAAGATGATCAATCGTTTCTGGATATTTATCACAGAATCTGCATTTTGGTCTGACACAATACAGTGAAACCTGTCAAACTTACGCACCCTCAAAGTTACGTTCTGTCAAACTTACTTGAATTTTGAGGGCCTTGTTGGATTTACTAAAAAACCTGTCAGACTTACCATTTGTCAAACTTACGCAAAATTTTTTGAAAAAAAAATCATGCCATTTTTCAAAAAAAAGCAACTTATGATCGAAAAAAATAAACTATACTGACAATTGAACAAAAAGCAGAGATAGTGGACTATAAAAACAAACATCCGGGGAAAAAGGCGGCTAAAATCGCCCTGTTTTTTCTCTAAAAAGTTCAAAGTTAAGATTGACGGAAGATCTGTCCAAAATTATATAAATTCTAAGAGTAAAATCAAAAGTGAGAGTCATACATTGCCAAAAAATAAATCGAACAGGCCCGTAAAATATAAAATTATTGATGACGCTTTATCAAGTTATATTTCGCGAATAAACTCAAAAGGGGGTTTTATTGATGATTTTACAATAATCACACAATCAAAGAAGATTGCACAAGATAATGGAATAGAAGATTTTAAAGCCTCAAATGGTTGGCTCCAGAGCTTTAAAAAAAGACACAAACTGTCTCTCAAACCTCTACATGGAGAAACATACTGTGAGGAACCAAAAACCACGATGAATTTCTTAGCCAAATTGACGAAAAATCCGCATCTATGGTGAGGAAAATTTCTTTAATATGGATGAAACCGGATTATTTTATAAATTGATTCCATCTAAATCAGTTTGCCAAACAGCACGAAGAGGATATAAAAATTTTAAAGATAGAGTTTCCATAATGCTCTGTTCGAATATGACAGGATCCATCAAACATAAGCCGATGCTGATCGGTAAAACTAAGAAACCAAGATGTTTTAAAAATTTTACAGGGATAAACTTCGTAAATTATGTTTGTTCAAAAAGAGCGTGGATGACGTCTACTATTTTTTCTGATTGGTTAGATCAATGGAATCAAGATCTTGTTCGTTTCAACAGAAAAGTTGTACTTTTGCTTGACAATTGTCCAGCTCATAAATCTCTAAAAAATTATTCTAATATTGAGCTTGTTTTTCTCCCAAGAAATAGTACTGGTGACTTACAACCTATGGATATAGGAATTATTAAGTCCTTCAAAAGCCATTTCAATCGAATTAAATTTGATAAAATCCTGGAAATGATTGAACAGAAAACTTTATTTGATTTGGATTTTAAGCGTGTCTAGGGGTTATTAGGTGAATTTTTCTAAAAAAAATTTTTCTCTGTCAAACTTACCAATACTGTCAAACTTACCAACTTTTCTGTGGTCCCAATTTTGGTAAGTTTGACAGGTTTTACTGTATTTTAGTACATGTGCTTGATAATTCCTTGTTAGCAAGCATTGGTCCTGTGCAGCAAGAATAAAACCTTCAGTTTCAGCTTTCAACCCTGCACTACGTAGCCACTGATGGGTACGGGTTTTGTCTACGTCAGCTTGTTTGGTACGGGCAGAGTATTGGCCATGAAGCGGTTTATCTTGCCATTGCTTCTGTATCTGGTCGGTTGCATTCGTCTTTGCTGTCTTTTTTAAGTATTTTGCAGTTTCAGCCGGTGTATTGTGCTGTACTTGCATCTCTACGCCCATTTGAAACTCCATTTTGAATTTGTTGGCTTCTTTTATTACGGAATAAAGACGCTTGCTACTTTCATGTTCCTTGACGCATACCATCATCCAGTCTTCTGTAGTTTCCAAGTATCTTTGGATGCCAATTATTGTAGTTTTGTAGAACAGTTCTAGTTGAACTAATCCTCTGCCTCCTTCGGATCTGGGCACATACAGACGATCAACATCAGCTTTGGGATGATGCATGCGGTAGCAAGTGAGAAGTTTTCTCGTTTTGACGTCCATTCGCTTAACTTCAGCTATGGTCCAGTTAAGAACATTAAAGCTGTATTGCACCACAGGGACAGCCAATGTGTTTATGACTGATATTCTGTTTTTTTGAGTTTAGCTCGGTATTTAGTACCAGACGTACACCCCTGTAGTACTCCTTTCTTATTTTTTCCTTCATTTGGGGGTGTTGTATGCCATTGTGACAAAATCTAAATCTATTAAAGGTGTTTCTGTAATGTTAATTTTGCACATCCGAAGTCCATACCTATGTCGTCATTGAAGTATTTTACAATATTGAGGAGGCCCTTCAACTCATTGTCGTCTTTGACAAAGAGTTTGAGATCATCCATGTAGAGTAGGTGATTGAATATTTTCTTATTTATTTTGTAACCATAGCTACTGTTGTTTAGTTCATGCGTAAGGGGGATTAACAAAACAGAATGGGTGACAGAGAGTCTCCTTGAAAGATTCCACGTCGGATATTCAGACGGTTTGATATGGCAGTGCCCCTGGTGTGACTAAGGTATAGTTAGGTGTTCCACATTCCCATGCTGTGCTTAAGGAAATCTAATACCACAGGGGAGACTTTGTACATTTCCAAAGTCATAA